CACGCTGGAGTCCGGGCGGCCTGCAGCGGCCTGGCGGGGCCGGTAACCCTGAGAGCCCGCGCACGTTTCGGGCCGACCTCCCCAGCTTTGCCTGAACATCCGCGGTAAACGTTGCGTAAACCTCGCGCTGTGCGGTCGTCCGCGTTTCGTCGAGGGACTCGGGCTGGGCCCTTCTTCGCCGTCGGCCTGCTTGGTGTTGAGAGCGGAGTTAGTCCACTTGTGTAACTGCCCTGACATTCAGAGGCCGCTCCGCGTGCCTCGGTAGGTTTGCTTATTTAAATAATGGGGAGAAATTTTCACTTCAAGTACTACAATGTGTATCTGGGACTGCCGAGCTTGGATGTGGAGCTGTTTGGAATTGGATTTCTTTGTGAGCGGTAGTGATTGTTCGCAGGTCTGTGCCGTTACGGACGTAAACATTGTGTTCATGGCGCTGCTGCACATGGTGCTTTCTACCTTAAGAGGGTGGCGTATTGGACCTATATATTTCAAGTGTTAGTATTTTAGACTACGCACACTTCCATATTTAAAAATAAACGTGTATTGTTGGTATATTATAGGGCAAGAATTATAACAAGAATATACTCAATTTATGGACTGAAATTAAGCCTATGATCAATGGTGTCATTTTTCTTGGTCAGAAACAGACATGGCCATCTGAGCAAGGCTGTGAATAGAAATGGAATGATTGGGATAAAATTTTGCATTTTTTTTGCTGAGTATTGTTTCTCTTCTACTGCTCGATGGTTGGTGAGGTAAGCACACGAGGGAAGAAAATGTGATCTGTAAATTCAAGTTGTTAGCAGATTTTGCTTATGAGTTTATAGAAGACTGTGTAAGAAATAGCAGTATACTTAATTTGGGCAATAATAAGTAGATAGCTTTGTTCTAAATTCAAAGAACATACAGGCTTTAATGTCCCATGCTATATTTCAAAAATTTATTTTGAGTTACAAATTGTATTTAAAATTTTTGTGTCATCCTAAATCTGATTCAGCAGTAATATTAGGTATATGAAACGCCTGGTATTAAAACTTCTAACACGTTATATGTTGAACTTCTTGCAATAAAATGGACTCTTTCTTCTTCAGTGGAAGTACTGTAAAGTGGAATTGAATTGATCGACCTATGCACTTTTATTTTGAAATAATTTTAGATAAATCGCTTTTAATTCTTCTGTTTTCCTAACGTGTTGCTCTATGCTCTGTCACTAAAATGAATTGCTTCTCAAAAATCTGTTATTCTGGCAAGCATAATCATGATGTCCCATGCTCAGGAACAACTGAACTAACAGATCAGGAATTTAATATTAATGTAATTTAAGGAAAAATCTGAAGATATAATGTGTCTTCTGTAAACTTCTTTGATATTTAGAAATTTAAAATTTCACATTTAATTTTTAAAACTCAATAAAACACAGCATTAACTTTGGTTATATTGTAAGTTTTTACAATAATTTGCAAGATGAAGCTTCAGTCTGAGTCACTGGAATACAGATGCAACAAATTCCTTTAGATATATGATTATTTATCTTCATATTTTTCTAAAGTTGTGCTTGTCATTTTTCATTAATTTATTTTGAAAGGCAGTAGATTTTTTTTTTTTTTTTTTTTTTTGAGACAGGGTCTCAGTATGTAGTTGACACTGACCTGGAACTCATTACGCTTAGCCCAGGCTGGTCTCGAACTCACAGTGATCCTCCTGCCTCAGCCTCCTGAGTGCTGGGATTACGGGTGTGCGCCATCACACCCGGCCAAAGCAGTACATATTTGAAAATTTATTTTTGTTAGCTGAGCATACTTAAAATTAATGATTGTAGAGTAAGCAGTTTAATGATTTGTTCAACTTGCTACTTTAATGTTCTGTGATTAGCTATGCTGTCTTAGCTTTTTCATAGCTTAATGGATTTTTTGAAACTGAGCTAGAGAGGATTTGTTGAAAGTGTAATAAAAAGGATTTGTCTGTGAAGGCTAGAGTTATATAGGTTAAAACAACTTTTGATCTACCACTCCTACTTTTGCTGTATTTTCTTGGACATTTGGGTAGTTTGCAGATTGATTCTGGAATACTTTATTTATTATTATTGTTATTTTTTGTGATACCGGGGATTGAACTCAGGACCTTGTGCTTGTGAGTCAGGCGCAGCACCACTGAACTAAATCCCCAGCCCTCTGGAATATTTTAGATTGAATATAAAATATTTTACGATTCTTTTAGGTTTGATTATAATTCTTTGGCTCAGATTCTTGAACTCTGGCTCCTTTAGAATTATGTTTTGTTTAATAAATATGGTGTTAAAGCTAAGTATTTAAACACTTTTATTAAGTGTGCATTTTATATGTGTATATGTTGTTTTAGTTTTGGAGGCTTTAGGATAACACACTTTTTTTTTTTTTGGTACAGGGGATTGAACTCAGGACCTTGTGCTTGCGAGGCAGGTGGTGGAACCACTGAGCTAAATCCCCTAAATCCCCAGCCCAAGAACACACTCCTTTCTAAAGAGTGGATGGGATTGGTGACTATCTAGTGTTTTCTATACTAATGTAATTTCAAGTTTTTATAATGTTTTGATTGAAATATTTGAGATATACAAAGTTTTGGCATATATTTCTAGTCATTCTCTGGTAAAATGAGTGTTTAATATGTGGACTGGAGTAACCTATTAATTATCAGGTCTCTTTATTTTTTATTTTTTGCTACTGGTGATTGAACTTGGGCCCTTGCGAGGTGGTGGAACTACTGAGCCAGATCTCTGGCTAGTCTCTTTAGAAACACAATTTAGCGACAAGATTAACCCAAAATGTCTGTAAGGTACTTGGAGGCATAGATTGAGTTGTAGAAATCAGCCATTTAGAGTTAGCTGTGAACTACAGTAGGAAAAAAGTCCCATTCATTAAATTAAAGTCTGCATCTTGGATAAAGTGGGATCAGAAGCCATATTTATCTGTAGGTTGTATAAGCAATAAATAGCATAGGTAAGGTAGAATGTTAAAATAGAGTCTTAGTTTTTTCTCTCACTTTGTTTAAGTGTAAATCTCATACTCTTGTTCTTCACATTGTATCAACGTGATCTTCCCTGTAGTGAGCCAGTAGTATGTCCAGTGGAATATTGAGGCTGATGTCCCTCTACTATATTACTTGAGAGTTAGATTTTATGAATTTCTGAGGCACCATGAAACTAATACAGTGCTGGTGAACCTGTGGCACATGCACCATAGTGGACTCTTGGTATCATTCAAAGCTCTAAAAGGTTTACCATCACTGTCCTGGGACTCAAGCCCAGATCTTTTCAGTTACTAGTTTTGTGATCTTAAGCAAGTCTCCTTACTTACTTGCTTTTGGTTTCCTCATGTATAATACCAGATGGAGGTAGTCTGTGGTATTCTTGTAGCTGTAATATTTTTCAACTACAAACTTCCAGTGATGGTATAAAGGTACAACCTAGAGTAAAAACAGTTTTAAGTGGAGAAAGGTAGTAACCAGCTTGCACATCCTAATCTGAAATTTGAAGTGCTTTGAAATCTGAACTTGTAGAGTATATAAGTTGGTATGGTGCTGACAGGAGGAAAAATTCACCCTTGGTCTCTGTGATGCATTGCAGTCCAAATGTATGCAGACTAACAGTGTTGTATAGGGTGGGTATGAGGTGTGTGTATAATATAAATGAGTTTGCATTTAGTTTTAGGTCTTTTCTTCAAAATACCTCATTATGTATACAACCAGATATTCCGGAATCCAAAAATACCTGAAATGCTCTTTTGGTTTCACGCATTTTGGAAAAGGAATATTAAATTTGTGTTATTTAAAATGTCAATTTGCCGGATGTGGTGGTGCACGTCTGTAATCCCAGCACTCAGGAGGCTGAGGCAGGAGGTTTGCTGCGAGTTGGGAGACCATCCTGGGTACACAGTGAGTTCCAGAGCAGTTTGAACTACATAGTGAGACCCTTTCTCAAAAAACAAAACAAAAACAAAAACAAAAAGGCAATTAATTTTAATTTCAAAGAAATAAGGGAAAACATTGTATTTTTAAAAACAGACTAAAAAGCAGTTTATACTAATGATTCTGATTATCATAAGTTAAACATTTTATTAGAATCTATCGATAATAGTTTTTTATGTATTGGATTTGATAGCACATAAATTTGTCCCTGAAGTACAGAATAGTAGGAGGTACAGTTGGCTGATAATACAGACTTATGACTTTTCCCTAGATGAGAATTTTTCTGAATTGCTATTTTTGCCATTTAGTATTTGAGGCCAATAAACATTAAAAATATAAAAATGGTAAAGAGAAGTGAGATAGTCTGTTGTGTCGAAATGAGCAAGCAAGAAAGAATTGAAGGGAAGAAATAGAAGAAGAGGAAGAGATTAGAAGCAAGACTGTAGGACAAAGGAAAATTATGCAAACTTTGGGAAATTGATGAAGACAGTAGGGAAAGAGGAAGGAAGGAATAGAGAGAAGAACAGAACAATAACCACAAAACTAGAAACAGTGTTCACACTCATATAACATAGGAACAATTGGGCTGGGAATTTAGCTCAGTGGTTCTGCCACCTGCCTCGCAAGTGCTAGGACCCAAGTTTGATCCCTGGCACCCCCCCAAAAAAGAACAATCAGAAAAGAAAACAAAGGAAAGGAAAGAAAAGGAGGAAAAAAAAAAAGTCCACCTCAAGGTGTGTTTCTGCTGTTACTGGAAGATAGAGTGGGCAAACAGAACCCAGATTTGTGTTGATGAATCCCAGCAAGCCAGCCAGAGATGTACAGCTGGGTAATGGATAATCCCAGCAAGTCTGCACCTTTAGTTCCACTGAAGTTGAGACTGGTTTCTGGCTGTGAGTTTGGAGCATGATTTGTTCAGCCTGTAACACTCCCATATACCTCCTGCCAGCTTGAACTCAGCTCCCTGAGGGGTTGCCTGCCTCACCCTGACATTGGGAGCTGATAGATGGTGCAAGACTGCAGCTGCTTAGTTGGCCCCTCTCCAAGATGGTGATCATCCACATGCCCTCTGCTAGGGAATGTCTGGACCCAAATAACTCACTAGCCACTGTAGTGTGCTGTGTTCACTGCTCTGTTCCACTGGTGAGTTTTTCTGTGGAGATCTCTGGGTTTGCTAGTAGTTACCATGCCCCTGCAGGTTTGAGCTGCCTTTCCCAAGCAGTGAGGCAGGACTTAGGGAGAAAGTGCCTCTTGCCACCTCCTTTTGTGTTTAGGTCCCTCTCCTTTATCTTTCTGTGGGCCTCAATTTTTCACTTCAG